AACTGTTTTCCTGCAATGCCAGAGTTGGGGTTGTACATTTGCCATATGCAAACACTATTAAATTCTTTCAGGGAAGCTGAAAATTCCCATCCAGTTTACTTCATGTCTAAAAACTGTCCAAACAAGAAAACATAATGGTCCCCAAGAAATTGGAATATCAGCGGGAATCTTACACTGGGAGAAGGAAAAGAAAAGACAGGAGTGTTGGCCCAGCCAGAGAAAAGCTTGCCTCCCAGAAAGGAATTCCACACGGTGCTGACAGCTTGTCAATCACCCTGCAGGAAAGACTGAGCTGAGTTAGTGATGAGTGAGTGATGGGCAGGACCCACCCTGACTAGGACTCCCTAGCCTTGCACACCTCCTGCCCTCTGTTAAGATGCAAACTTCATGTCAGGACCCCACAGGTAGACTAGAGGGAGTTCCTGAGCCTCTCTGATTTCTTCCAAGTGTGGCCTGGCTGAATCCTTTTTCTCTGATTTCTGCTCCTACTTCTTTTTAACTTACTAAATGAGGGGCTATCTGAGCCTAGCTTGTTAGGGTTGCCAGTGTCTAGGTGTTGACCTTAACAGTTCTTGAACATAACTCCAGAAAGGAAGTTTTACATCTTTTGTGGTATTTCCTAAGAAGAAATCAAGAAAGAAGTGCCTGGAAATGCAGAAGTGTATGAAGGTGTTTGGGCAGTGGATAATAAAGTATGCGTGCAAACAAAGGGTAAAGAGTGGCCATGGACAAAGGGTAAAGAGTGGACGTGGACAAAGGGGAAAGAGTGGACGTGGACAAAGGGGAGAGAGTGGCATGGACAAAGGGGAGAGAGTGGCCATGGACAAAGGGGAAAGAGTGGCCGTGGACAAAGGGGAGAGAGTGGCCATGGACAAAGGGGAAAGAGTGGATGTGGACAAAGGGGAAAGAGTGGACGTGGACAAAGGGGAGAGAGTGGCCATGGACAAAGGGGAGAGAGTGGCCGTGGACAAAGGGGAGAGAGTGGCCATGGACAAAGGGGAGAGAGTGGCCGTGGACAAAGGGGAAAGAGTGGACGTGGACAAAGGGGAAAGAGTGGCCGTGGACAAAGGGGAGAGAGTGGCCGTGGACAAAGGGGAGAGAGTGGCCGTGGACAAAGGGGAGAGAGTGGCCGTGGACAAAGGGGAGAGAGTGGCCGTGGACAAAGGGGAGAGAGTGGCCGTGGACAAAGGGGAGAGAGTGGCCGTGGACAAAGGGGAGAGAGTGGCCGTGGACAAAGGGGAGAGAGTGGCCGTGGACAAAGGGGAGAGAGTGGCCGTGGACAAAGGGGAGAGAGTGGCCGTGGACAAAGGGGAGAGAGTGGCCATGGACAAAGGGGAGAGAGTGGCCATGGACAAAGGGGAGAGAGTGGCCATGGACAAGGGGGAAAGAGTGGCCATGGACAAAGGGGAAAGAGTGGCCGTGAACAAAGAGGAAAGCGAGGAATCCTAGGCTGGCAGAGTAGACAGCAGTGGACTGGACAGCTCAATGCTCCAAGAGTCAGGTATTTACGGGGCAAGCATTCTGTGCAAATCCAGGAGGATATCAGAGCCCCTGGAACTAGTTACACTTGGTTGTGAGCCGATCAGTGTGGTTACTAGGAACCACGCAGATCTTCTGGAGGAGGAATGAAGCTCTTAACCATTGAAGTGCCAGTCTGTGCTTGTCCTTCTTACCCCAGATGACTGTATGAACCAACCAGTGTGAAATACATTTCTGTGAAATCCTTTAAATAGTGAATATGGTTAGCATATAATGTGACAATCTGGTGCCATTTCGTATGGATCCTAGTGCGAGTTACCTTCATTTTCCTACCTGGTCACTGCATGGGGCTTGGCAACAGTAATTCATGGCACTGCCAGTCCAGAACCACGGCATCGCAGGGGTGAGGAAATGATCTGTGGATTTCTCTTCAGAATATCTTACCTCCCACCAGGGCTGTTACAAGTAACTTAACATTTTCATATTTTGTATGCTTAGATGTGCCATATTGTATATATCATATATACATGCATCATGTGTGTATATTATATATAATAGTTATATAACTATGTCTATATTAGATGTATGTATATAGAGAGAAAGACTATATTATAAATCAGAATACATATAAATGACATTTGTCATTTTCCCTCAGGATCCATGGACTCTGCCCTGTGGGAGACAGACCTTAGAAGATAGGCAGGCATCTTAGCCCCTCCTTCAAGTATCACTTGAGTTGGGGTAATAGAAATAAAAAAGAAAGCAAACTTGTTTTTTAGCCATAAGTGAACATGAACACGAGCTCTTGCCCTGGGTATACAACTATCACTATTAAATGGTATCAGCATATAAACACAGGAACAAAGCCTTAAGCAATAGGCGGCAGGGGTCAGAGGGTACAAGAGTGGCCTTAAATAGGAAAAGGACCCCATTCCTGTCCAGGAACCATGCAGAAAAGGTGCATTTTATAGTTCCAGTCTCTGCTCTGCAAAGTGTGACCACAGCGCTTATCTTGATTATCATTATAAAAGAAAGTTAAATAAACATTCCAATGAGCTATCAAGAGGGAGAGAAAGAACCATTTTAGCTTTTGTTACATTACAGCCTGAGCTCCGGAAGTTCCCCCGCATAGCTCTGACAGGCTCCCTTCTCACTGGTCTACTTTGTTGTACAAGACAAGTATTTTTCTTCTCTTGTTCTAAAGCCACTACCTGCAGCTTATACAAGTGGGAAGAAATGTCCCCGGATCTTTAAGTGCCTTCTCGTAAAGAAAACGCCTGACGCCCTCCTTGATTTCCTCAATAGAACTCAGTGAACCATTAGGGGAAGAATGAATGCTGCCAGGGCTTGCCGCTTTTCTGACAAGGAACGGGGTCCCATGAAGGGAATTTTGACAGGGAAATTACTAGCTTTGACTCAGAGCTCAGCTCTTTCTCGAGATCTAACTGGGTATTTCCAAATAGTGTGGTCGTATTTATTCTAACGTTTCCCGAGAGATTGACAGTTCATTCACACAGGGAGTGATCAATAATTTATGTTAACAAATACAGATTTCCAGTTCACCAACTGGTTCCCCTTTGCATTCAACCAACTAATTTTTGTAGTAGACTTTTTAAAAATACAACTTCCCATGTTGATCAGGAAGAGTGGCAATGCCCAAGGTCCTGGAATCTCAGTCAGGACATGAAGAGACCAATGCTCTGTTTTTGCTGTGGGGTAGACACAGTAAATTTGCATCTAATAGTTGCCAGTAACCAATTCTGACAACCTACACACTTGTGACAGAGCCACTAAGATCTTTTGAGTACAATATCCGGCAATTTTCCAGTGACATCCCACAAATCGATAGTCTTTTTTGGTAGACTGAGTTTGTAAACCTAAATCAATAACTTTTTATTCAAGGTTTGTTATAAGATTTCACACCTACCAATGGCTTCATTAGTCATCCTTGAATGATTAAAAGCCAAGATACAGATGTATGGGACAGGGGACTTAATATCCTCATGCATAGAGGGCACCAGACATACATGCACACACATACACAAACACACACACAGATACATACACACAGACAGAGGGCACCAGAGATACATGTGCACACACAAACACACACACACACATACACATAGACAGAAGGCACCAGACATACGTGCACACACATACACAAACACACACACAGGTACATACACACAGACAGAGGGCACCAGAGATACATGCGCACACACAAACACACACACACATAGACAGAAGGCACCAGACATACATGCACACACACAAACACACACACAGATACATACACACAGACAGAGGGCATCAGAGATACATGCGCACACACACAAACATACACACACATACACATAGACAGAAGGCACCAGACATACGTGCACACACATACACAAACACACACAAAGGTACATACACACAGACAGAAGGCACCAGAGATATGTGCACACACATACACAAACACACACACAGGTACACACACATAGACAGAAGGCACCACACTTGTATGCATATGTACACACAGGCACAGGCATATGCATGTAGATAACTAAATCTTGTTTTTTAAAACTTTTTTTTAAAGATTTATTTATTAATTATGTATACAGCATTTTCCCTACATATATGCTGCAGACCAGAAGAGGGCACCAGATCTCATTACAGATGGTTGTGAGCCACCATGTGGTTGCTGGGAATTGAACTCAGGACCTCTGGAAGAGCAGTCAGTGCTCTTAACCCCTAAGCCATCTCTTCAGCCCCCAATTAAATCTTTAAAAAATAAAGTGTAAAATATAGAATTTTTTCCAAGTGCTTTACTAGTTACTCAAAGCTGCAATTTCATCCCCAACATGTAGTATCTAGACTAAGAAAAGTATCATTGTCTTGCTTAGACCACCTGAATGATACCTTCTATTGCTTTATTTGATTCTCCTGGCTCTTTCTTTGATTATTAAAACCCTTCTTTGTGGTGGATAGAACGGCAGGGACACCTGAGTCTTAGCATCGGGATTAGAGATTGGTTAATGACCAGTTAGAACATCAGGTTTTCCAATTCCTGAAAAGGTTCTTCTCATTGTCTATGTTCCACTTAAATTTATTGTGTGACAATCCAAAAAATAAAATATTTTTTTGTTTTTATTATTTATTTATTTATTTAAAATTTCCACCTCCTCTCATTTCTCTCTCACTCCCCCCACTCACCCTCCCCCTCTCTGTCCAGTCCTAAGAGAAGTCAGGGTGCCCTGCCTTGTGGGAAGTCTAAGCCCCCCCCATCCAGGTCTAGGAAGGTGAGCATCCAAACAGACTAGGCTCCCAAAAAGCCAGTACATGCAGTAGGATCAAAATCCAGTGTCATTATCATTGGTTTCTCAGTCTGCCCTCATTGTCAGCCACGTTCAGAGAGTCCAGTTTGATCACATGCTCATTCAGACCCAGTCCAACTGGCCTTGGTGAGCTCCCGAATTTTACATGCAAATGGATGGAAATAGAAAACACTTTACTGAGTGAGATAACCCCGACTCAAAAAGAGGAATATGATATGTACTCACTCATAAGTGGATTCTAGCCATAAACAAAGGACATTGAGCCTGTAGTTCGTGATCCTAGAGAAGCTAAATAAGAAGGTGAACCCAAAGAAAAACATATGTATCCACCTGGATACTAGAAATAGATGTGGCTTGACTACCTTTCCTTTGCACAAGCTGTCACTCGGGTCCATTACATTGGTGACGTTATGCTGAGAGGATCTTGTGAGCGAGACGTGGCAAAACTTAGGGACTTTTGCAGTCAGAGGGCAAGTAAGTGACAAAAATCCAGGCCTTCCTGTCCAGTAAAGCCTCCAGTCATAGAGTTGTACGAAGTAGGTAAACACATCCATTGAAGGTGACATATAAGTTGTTGCATCTAACCTCTCCCAAGGCAAAAATAAGAAGTACAAGAGTCTGCCGGCCTCGTGGAATGTCAGGTCACATAGTCCTCGTTTAAATGGTGTCACTATAGCCCATTCGCCCAGCGATCTCCAAAGGGCTTCGAATGGAGCCCAGAACTGGAGGAAGCTGTACAGCAGATGCGGGCACCGCGCACGCCGCTCTGCCGGGTGAGTCCAATACCCAGCAGATCCAATTTGCATGAATGATCAGTGACCGCCCTGGCAGGCCACGGTAGTCAGCGAATCACAGTGGAGGTCTCTTAAAGTTTAGGTGCAATTGTTGAGATGGCTCAGGCAGGGAATACTTGTCACGCAAGCATAAAGATTCAGAACCCCTGTAAAGCTGGCAACATAGCACTGGGGAGGCAGAGACAGCCTTGTCTCCACGGCAAGTTCCACACCATTGAAAGATTGTCAAAAAGAAAAAATGCCAAAATACAAGAACAAGACAGCTGACACCTGAGGGTAACCCCCAAGGTGGCCCTCTGGCTTCCACATACATAGATGCACCCCGAAGAGAGGGAGGAAGAGGAGAGGAGAAAGGAGAAAAGAAGAGAGGGGGAGTTGAGGGGGGGGAGAGGTGGGAAGAGAGGAGACAGACAGACAGATAGACAGATGGACCAACAGAGATTTAGGATTAGGACTTAGCCTTTAAGAAATGGCTCCGGGTCTGTTTCTGGGTCTTAATAAAATAGAATGATTAAGTCTGGATCGTTACCTTAACATATTCTTAACACTCATTTCTGAGTGTCGCTTGACCCAATAGGCCATGAACTGGGATTACGCAGCACACAGTTTTCATGCTGAACTAGTGACGATGTGGATGGGCTTGCGCGGACCCTGCAGAAACAAGTTACACAAAAAAATGTATCTCAAATTCCCATGGTGCGATTCCCACGATACTGCGGCTTTCTCCATGGCAAGCGCCTGTGGCATCATGGGGATTTTGAAGGAGTCTGGCCTGGTTGTAGGTGCTCCTGCGCGGTATGCAGGCACTGCCCCCACGTGGACAGCTGCGGTACTGCAGCCCCTTCCAGTGCCATTCCTGGGGGCAGAACTTGCAGGGCCTGGTGGACCGTTTTGCTAACTTGGAATACGAATGGAAAGTCATCGATTTATAAAACGTTTTCATTCTGAGCAAAGCATGAAGATTATGTGTTGGTTTACTATAGACCCAGTTGAATTCCAAATCTCGTTGGGTTAGTAGATCAATTCTTCCTTTGTAAATCTCCAAGGGGTAAGAGAAACACGAAGGTTCGCATGCGCTTGGCTTTTTGGATGCCATGTTTGGAAACACTGGCGTCCTCCATTGTGGTCATATCTCAAGAAGGGGTAGGCTTACATGCTTATTCACATAAGTAGAGACTCGGTGCATATGTTTAGCCAACCATATTGAAATGAGGGCTGGAGAGATGACTTAATGAAGAGCACTGCTGCTCTTCCAGGGGGACGTGGGTTTGATTCCCAGCACCCACACGGCTGTTCACAGCCGTCTGTAACTATGGTTCCAGCAGATCGAATGTTCTCTCTGCCTCTGAGGGCACCAGGTACACATATGGTGTGTGTGTGTCTGTGTGTGTGTGCGTGTGTGCATGTACAGACACACTATATATAGTGGGTTTTTTGGACTGTTGTCAGTCCAGTCAGTCTCCCACTTGGGATGGAAGAGAGCAAGCAGTGATCTTTTATGATCTACAAGGGATCTCCTCATCTGCAGCCACAGAACCCTGGGCCACGTCTGGTCCTCAGATAACTTGTCAGATTTTCCCTACGCTCCTACAAACAGCACCCAAACAGTCTTGGGCAGCGGCTGTGCCTGTTTCTCTGTCTAGGCACCCAAACGCAAGGCTTCAGCTTCTCTTGTAAAACTGCTCTTTGTGTGTAAGTGGCTGAACCCCCGGAGTGGCACACGCAGAAGTGAGAGCCGCCTAGTTTCATCCCAAGGAAGAAGAAAAGCAAGTAGACTTTGAAGAGGCAGTTAGGACAGGAGCAGGAGCACCAGGTGGGACTATGCCATTTGCCCCAACACGGTCATTAGATAAATTTGAAGCTGAAGTATTAATTAAACTGTAATTTTAAACATTTGATAGCTGTGTGGACCCTGGTTTCTAAGGCCTAAAACACCCTCACATCAGCCCTTGCCTGTCCTCAGCTTAGAGTCTCACCTTCCAATGCTGCCACTGGGGACATCACCACACCAAGTCCCCAGGGCCTGACACTCACAACCTTGCTCCGTGCTCCAGTGTTTTCACTTAACACATTGTATTTAACAGTCTCTTATTGTGTCTGTGTCTTCCATTAGACTGAGAACTCTGTCATCTTTTTCCCGTGGCCATAAAGCCTAGGACACAGAGCAGGCTCGGAAGCGCTTCTTACAGAACATCTCCCTTCCCAGAAGCCCATGGACCTCACAGTTTTCCCTTCACTCAAAACTTCTGGAAGCCCCAGACACACTGTCGGGGGCTGAGAATTCTAAAACTTCTGAGACGGTAACTTGTTTTTCTCTCTTTTTCAGGACCCTCTTCCAAGAACCATATAAGAAAAACGGAGGAATCATGTCCATGATCGCAGCTTACTACAGCAACAAGTCCGTTCTCATCACAGGGGCCACGGGCTTCCTGGGCAAGGTGTTGATGGAGAAGCTGTTCCGCACCAGCCCCCATCTGAAAGTCATTTACATCCTCGTGAGACCCAAGTCTGGACAAACTCTGCAGGAGAGGGTTTTCCAGATTCTCAACAGTAAGGTACGTCTTGTGTGAGGGCCGTGTATCACGGGCACCACCATGGGGCCCAGTGACTGGACTGGATCTAGAGCCAGCAGGAGGCAAGCCTCCGGGCACAGCTGTGAGCGGTGCTTTAGGTCAGCCCACCATGCCTGTAGGGAATTGCCTTAACTGGGTTATCTGAGATGCCATGACTGGTGGCACCGATTGCTAGGTTGGGATCCCAGGCTGTATAAAAGTGAATGAACACAAGAATTCATAGCTCTCTGCCAAGGCTGGGGATGCAGGGTGACAGGTTCCTCCATGCTAGCCCCTGCTGCCCTGACTTCCTGGCTACGGTGGACTGTGCTTCCAACTGTGAGCTGAGGTAAAACCTTCCAACATGGAGCTGTTTCCTTCTTTAGGCGGTGGGAGGATTTTTATCAAAACAGCTGTAAAAGAAACTATACAAATTCCCAACTACAGGCCAGAGCCTACAGGGGACAGAAAAAGAAGACAGATGTCACAGTGTCTCCTGTGGGTATCCCAGAGGAGGGTAGAGGTGCTTCTATTATAATTAGGCGAGAAAGGAATCATCTCTGTAGTAGTTTGAACCTGTCATGTCCCCCACTGTCCCTGTTTTGGGTACTTGTTTTCCACTGTGAAATTTGAGAGAGTGTGGAACCAGCGAAGGTTAGGCCTGCTGGCTGAAGTGGATAACCCCGAGAAAACCCCGAACACCATTGCCCAGGCTTGGCGGGTGCGTAGCAGGCAACCACTGATGTGGGTGGCTCCAGGAAACTCCATGCACCATTGCCCAGCTCTGGTAGGATTTCCTTTTTAATTTCTTCTTGTCCCACAGCTATTGTCTGGATGACTGGTGGTCTAGAAACCTAAGTTTTCGGTAGGCGGGCACTATTCAGTTTAGCTCTTGCGTTTACACAGAGAATAGCGTGGAGCAGTAGAAAAGGCAGCAGACCTGGCCCTACCCATTCCTCCCCACACCAGAGCAACAGCCCAACGTGGAGAGCTTGCCACATTGCCTAACCCACCCACGGCTTTCTTTATCTATACAATGTATCAAATAACAAAACCTATTTCACAGGGATTTACGAAGATTAAATGAAGATACCCATCCATCAAATACTATTGTGTTGCACCATAGGAAGATATTATCAGTGACCTCTGGGTTCTTTAACCCAGACAGACTCTTTTGTTCATCGTCCTTAAAGCCAAATCATGGGTTGCCTAAACCAGTTTCACAGATATCAAAGATGCATAGATTTCCACATTCCCCTCTCTATCAGTTTATCATGGCTTTTGTAAGAGATAAAAGTAGAAATGAATAAGTGGGGTTTTTTTTATTATTGTTGTGTTTGAGATGGGGTCTTGCTGAGTAGCCTATACTAGCCTCAGGCTCAGAATCTACAGCCTTAACCTGACAAGGGCCGGAATTCCAGGGCTGCACCAACCATGCCAGTCTCACAAGTAATCTAAATCTCCCAGATTTCAAAAACCTGTGACAGATCTGTTCACATTTACATGTGCAACTTACCTAGCTAGTGTCTCTCCAGCCTGTGTGATTTACAGGCATGTGCTGAAACAGCCTGTACCTCTCCAAGAGCCAGCTGATCTAGCCTAGCATGTGCCATGAGATAGCCCCCAACTCCCTGAGAGCCATTTGATAGAAGCATACACCAGCCATTCAGGATCCAAGGTGATTGATGGAAAGGCTGCCATCTCTTCCGCATTGCCCTCAAGCCAAGAGGTCTCCACAGAGGACACTAGCCAACTAGCAATGGGGACAAAGACAGGAAGACGTCTGGTCTAGGCAGGAAGCAGTGCCCCTAACTCCTGTCCACATGCTCTGCAAGGCTGCCACTGGGCCACAGCTCATGGCTGAGAAAGACACAGGTGGGTACCCAGGAGGAAACCCCCACTGTCCTCACTTTAAGTCACAAAGTTTCTTTCTGCCCCACCGTTCATGCCATACTGGAGAGTCAGAGTCCATACTGCTGAGGAATAGACCGTTCCTTCTACCATGTGCCGAGACCTCAGCTTTTGATTGGCAGTCTTAGAACTCAAGCTTCATAAATGGTGGCAGGATAGAGACAAGGTAACTACCATTGAAGAAATAAGAAAATGAAACAAAGAAAGCTATTCAAAATGGCAGGCAGCAAGGCTGGGCTAGATCTATTAAAATAAATGCTCGGTAGGAACTGAGAAGGCTCCCTGAGAAGATTATAGTGTGAGTAGGAAGATGTCCCTTACCTGGTTTCTGACTGGACTCTCCGGGAAGAGGCCTCTTTTCTATCACTTTTTGTGGCCAATTGCTCCACCTTCTAGAAGTTCTTCCCTGCCCCTCTCTTGCTGTGGTGGTTAGGGAAGGTCCTCTCATCCTTGTCTTTAACAATACATTCTTGGATGTGCAGCAGAAGGTGGGAACCAGCGGATGTGTGCAGACAGGATCAGGTGTTCTTTGACTCTAGAAGGAAAAGGAAATCATAGTTAGTGCACACAGTAGGTCAGCCTGTCCCAAGCTAAAGACGTGAGTGAAAGGGTTGATGAGGAAGTATAAGAAGGAATGGGAGTTGTGATGAGATCCCAAACCTAAAATCCTGGAATGCCCTGAATGTCTTCATTCGATTGAGTATCGATGGCCAGCATCGGGTTAGATGTGCAGGGTATCAAAGCTTCCCAGGAGAGGAGTGGATGTTGATGAAAAGGCCTTGCGTCTCTAATTATAGAGGAAATACGGGGAAGATAAGTATGCTCTTGGCTTTGGCAAACCCATTTGAGGAAATGTGTAGCAGTGGCCACTCTTGAAACAGCGATACTCTCATTGAGTCTTCAACTCAGAAAGCACCAGAAGGGGCTGGAGACAGGAGTCAGCGGTTCAGAGAACTTGCTGATCCTGCAGAGGACCTGGGTTCAGATCACATGGTGATCCGCAATCATCCATGCATAGCTTCAGTTCCATGGGATCCAGTTCCCTCTCTTGGCTGCTGTGGGCAATGCACATACACGGTGCAGAGTTTGCCTCTGATTCTCTGTATATGCCTAGGACTATGGTGGAGAGGACATTGGTTCTGCCCATCAAAAGCCATATACCCCTTCCTTCTCCTTGTGTGGTATATGTAGTTACCACCTGCCTCTTCCTGTGTCCCTGATCTCAGAGAAGGGCAACTTTCAAAGAGCTCTTAATCCATCAGTCACAGAAAATCAGAAAAGACTCATTCTTATAACTCATTACTTATAACTCCTAATTCTTAAGTATTTTCACATTTTTGGAAATTCTCTCTCTCTCTCTCTCTCTCTCTCTCTCTCTCTCTCTTTCTCTCTCTAGCATCTGCTATATACACTAAGCTGTCTCTGTCTCAGAGATCTTCCTCCCTCTAAGCACTGGGATTAAAGGCATGGGCCCATATACAGCATCGTGCTGTGTATTTATAAGCTAACCCTGTCATTTGGCATGCTACATTGAACACTCTGTAAGCTTCCCTGGAAAAACAGAAATTACTCAATAAGCATCAATTGTCCCTGAGGAGAATGAACTTTGAAATACAGAGGATGATCACAGGCAGGACTCACAGTCATGACCTCAGCCCACATGACACAGCTTGTTTAAGACATTGGGGGAAAAAACATTTAAGAAATACTTCACTGAGTCCTTTTATGACTATTACTGCTCCGGAGTTCATAGAAGAGACAATTAACCCCCCAACATGCATTTTAAAAATTAACTGAAGAAATATCAATTTTGAATATATTCTAGGTATGCGTGCTTATATAAAATGGTTGTATGTAGCTTATTATAATGAAATAAAATGACATATACGTTTTGTAATGGTTAAATAAATAGATTTGACATAAAAATACGAACTTTGAATTAAATAATGCCTGAAAATAGGAAGGTCAAATCTGACCCTATTCATTTAGATGGTTTTGTAAAGAAGCCAACAACATCCCCATGGTTCTCCAGCCCACCCTATGTGAGCTGTTGTTAATAATTCTATTAACTCTCTCCAGATGAGACAAGGACAACTGGAAAAAAATTGTATTTTAAACTCTCAAAGGCTGTTTTGTTACATTATTGCCTAACCCTTACCTGGGAAACTATCCCACAAAATGGAAGAGGCTTCTGCGCCAGGATTGTCACCTGGTGGCAGAGTGCTGTGTGTGAGATTCTGGGTTCAGCCCCAGCACGACAGAGATAAAGACAAGGAAGGTCTATAAATGAGATAACTAGACGTGCTAACATCGCAGGAATTCCAAGCGTGGCTAACACAGGCATACTTTTAAAACTGGAGTCAGTCTTCCATTTGACAGTTGCTTAGATCATTTTGAGCCTCTTTAGTGTGGTGGAGGATAGTGAGGAGAGAGGGGGGAGAAGAGGGAGGAAAAGGGGAGAGGAAGAGAGTAGGAGGAAAGGGGGAGGGAGGGGAGGAGGGATGGGAGAAGAGGGGGAGGACAGAGGGGAGGGGAGAGGGGAGGAGAGGGGAGGAGAGGGGAGGAGAAGGGAAGAGAGGGGAGGAGAGGAGAGGAAAGGAGAGGAGAGGAGAGGGGAGGGGAGGGAAGGGAAGGAGAGGAGAGGGGAAGAGATGGGAGGGGGGAAGAAGGGGGAAGAGAAAGGAGAGGGGAGGGGAGAGGAGGGGAGGGGAGAGGAGTGGGAGGGGAGGGGAGGGGAGAGAACAGGAAAGGAGGGAAGGGGAGAGGAGGGGAGGGATGAGGAGGGGAGGGGAGGGAAGAAGAAAAGAGAAGAGATGAAGAGAGTAGGGAAAAAGGAAGGGGAGGCAGAGAGGAGGAGAGGAGAGAAGGGCTCCCATTTTGGGAGCTTTGGGAAATAGAGAACATTAAAATCAGAAAGAGAGTTTCCCTCTTTAAGGACCTATTAAGTGACATAAGCACTGACCTCCATTATCATATTTAATCCTAGAAATCCTTGAAGTGTTTATTACGTCACAAATGAGAACTCAATCCCAGAGAACTGTCCTCTCCCCAGGGCTGTGTTATCTGTGCCAAAGAGGTGACATAATAAAACCAGAAGGCAGCTCTTCTGAGGCCCCTGCATCCTCCACGGCTCTCCTACCTCCCCTCAGAGCCTTTTCCACGGTGACAGAAGCGTTAGATGATAAAGTGTTGCTGGCTCCATCTAAGTATCCACCAGCACCTTCCATTAGAAGCCTAGAGATGATCTCAGGGCTGGTCCCACCCTCTAGGCTAACTCCTTCCTGCCCACAGACTCATTCTCAAAGCACACCACGGAACCTACCTTGTGGGGATGAAGAAGGAAAGGGTGACAAATGAAATATGTGTCACCGTTAGTGCTGATTATAGGTTCTTATGAAAAGTCACTGAAGATCTGACACAGGCAAAGCTGTTCCCAAGAATAGCTTCACATATTTGCTTTTCAATTCCCTGAGATCACGGGATGATGCAGTCCCACGATTAGCGTTTTAAGTAAGTGTGCAGCAAAGGAAGGCCCCGAGAACTCCTCAACTTGTTCTTGTCACACGAACAATACAGCCCAGACTCTGTGATGGCGGAAGAGCGGATGTCTTTCCAGAACGCACGCAGTTCTGGTACACACCTGGAGTGTGTCACCTGCCATAGGTGTTACACACTTGGCACCAAGCACAGCCGCCCAAGCTTCCAGGCAGTCTTAACCACAGGATCACACCACGTTGTCCGGTGGTGTTAAAGCGATGGTCCTCACTGAAGCCATGAAAAACTTCAGTGTTTCAAAGTGCACAGCTGCGATGCAACCTCTCCCCACCCAACATCCGCTCCCCCTCTTCAAAGTCAGTGTCCACAGAACCACAAACAAGTTAGTGAAGAAAATTCTACCGTAGACTCAAAAGGCTTTTACAAAGTCAGTTACTGTCGGGGGGGATTGCAAACATTTCACACAAACTCATACATGTGTTGCATGGCTAAAAAGAGCTACCGCATGGAAAACACTTGATTGTAAAAGCAAACATTTAGCATATTTATGGTGGATCAAAGTCAGGACTGCTAAAGGTCTGTCTCCAAGAGCCAGAGTGTCCTCTTTGGTGAGACCGAGCATTTTATCAACCTTATCTGTCCCAGATATCAAAACAAAATACTGAGGACTGGCCCAATTCCCTGATTATTTTCAGAACTTAGTTCACCTACGGATAGGCAGCCCTAACATATAGAAATGGAAGTTCAGAGGCAGGAGCGTGACAGTTGCTGGCTGCCTGTGGGATTGAGTTCCTTCCCTAGTCATCTTCATCTAGCTCCAAGGATTTGTGAGCCTGCTCTTGACTGGATGCAAATAAAATATGACTTCTCTGACTACCTGGAATTTTTTGCTGCTGTGTTTTGTTTTTGAGATAGGGTCTCATGCAATCCACATTGGCCTCAAAGAAAAGATGCCCTTGAACTTGAGTGCTGGAATTGCTGATGTAGTTACTATGCTTGGTTTTATGCACCGCTGGGGGGCAAACCCAGAGTCTTGTTGGTGGGAGGCAGCACTCTGACAGCTGAGTTGTATCCTAAGCCCAAATTTAATGTTTTATTACTCAACAAAAGAGCCTGCTACTATGAGCCAAGGAGCACGCTATCTTCAGAGGCTGGCAACAAAGGATATTATTGCCTTAAGTTTAAGAAACCAAAGACAGACTCTCCCTGTTCTTTAACACTTTTCTAAACATTTATCCCCATGGATACTATATGAAAATTCCACCTTAGCAAAATGGTTGGAAACAAGATTGTTCTGTGTTTTCAAAACAACAGAAAATGCAATTTTAATCTAAGAATCTCTGTGTGGTGGGGAAAGCAGAGAATCAACCCACTCGCGTGAGTAGATGTAACAAGAGCTAAAACTGTTATGTTCATCTCTTCTCCCTTCAAAAAATAAATTAGAAAATCAGTTAAAATCCAGTGAAACGATCCGTGAGCTCGTGTGATCCTTGACATTAACTGCCATGGATATTAGAGTGTGATTCCATACAATTTCCATCTTGCGAGCTCGTGTGACCCTTGACATTAACTGCCATGGATATTAGAGTGTGATTCCATACAATTTCCATCTTGCGAGCTCGTGTGACCCTTGACATTAACTGCCATGGATATTAGAGTATGATTCCATACAATTTCCGTCTTTCTCCTAACATGTCACCTCTTTCTTTTATTTCCCAATTACACTAGTGCTTCTGTCTGTCACTGAGCCCATTATGCAAGGTGATGTCATGTTGTTTGCTAAAGGCTGGGAACCCGGCCCTTTGAAAACCATTATTTCACATGTAAAAAGTAAGACCTCTTTGTGTGTGAATTTGTGTGTAAAACTGTGTAAACACGAGGCTACTCTCAAGGGCGAAGGGAGTCAGGTAAGAAGGTGATGACCGTCTCAGTTACGGCTTTCATGGCTGTGATAAACACCATGACGGAAGAAACTCGGGGAGGAGAGGGTTCATTCCACTTACATATGACTGCTGGTCCCTGACGGAAGTCAAGCAGGGCACAAATCTGGAGGCAGAAAGTGATGTGGAGGCCATAGAGAGGGTCTGCTTATTGCCTTGCTCTCCATGGCTTCCTCAACCTCCTTTCTCATAGCAACCAGGACCAACATCCCAGAGGGGGTACCACCCAAAATGGGCTCGGCCCTGCCCCCGTCTACAGGCCTGCTACAACCCAGTCTTGTGGAGGTGTTGTCACAGTTGAGGGTCCTTCTCTTAGAAGACTCTAGCTTTGATCTACTTGACTTAAAATGAGCTAGGACGGTGGCTATCACCCTCTCATCTCCAGGGCAAAGTTCAAAATATGCACCTGACTGCTAAACATGCCTTTTCATATGTTCCTGGAGTTGAGAGGATCCAAATTACACCAAATGAACAAAATAAAGTAGAGGGGTTTTGACTGCGGAGAAACCTTCACTGAAAATACCACTGCTGCAACTAAAAATGGGTTTTGAGAGCTGCAGTGGAAGGCACACATCCAAAGGAAGGCTTTGTGGTGTTAACGAGGCCCATGGCCTTTGGATTTCTGTTTCAGCTGTTTGAGAAAGTCAAAGAAGTCTGTCCAAATGTGCATGAGAAGATCAGACCCATCTCTGCAGACCTCAACCAGCGTGACTTTGCCATCAGCAAGGAGGACATGCAGGAACTTCTGTCTTGCACCAATATTATCTTCCACTGTGCGGCTACTGTACGCTTCAATGCTCATCTGAGGTATATATACGCCCTCTGTACTCTCGTGGCTTATAGCTCTCTCTCTCTCTCTCTCTTTCTCTCTCTCTCTCTCTCTCTCTCTCTCTCTCTCTCTCGTGTGTGTGTGTGTGTGTGTGTGTGTGTGTGTGTGTGTAAGAGTCTTCACGGAATCTGTAAAAATAAAAAGCAGAAAGGAAAGAAAGAACCACAAAACATGTGCCAGTGAAAAGTTTAAAA